GGAACCTGCGACCTCTGCTTCTCAGGGGCTAAGCAGAGAGGATGTCCTCCTTAGGCTTTGGAGGAGAGGGATGGCCTGGCTGGCTGGGAAGGGGCTGGCTTTGGAGCAGGATAGATGGAGGCCTGTAGGCTGGGCTGATTGAATCCTAGGTTCTGGGCTGGCCTTCACAGTAAAGGTACGGTGGAAAGCACCAGCAATCTGGAAACTTCCCATTCAACAGAGGACCAGAATGGCCACTCAAATTAGTCATGGAAGACTTGGGATAGGAAAGAAAAGCCAAAAAAGCAGAAGGCGGGTTGACCTAAAAGGGCACTCAGCAGGCTAGACAGTATGATAGAGTTGAGTGAAACCTCCCAAAGAGTGACAGGAATCACCAAGATGACTTACTCACTGGGCTTGTTACCTCGGATTCTTAACTCCTTTCTGGCCTCAGTTTTGTCATCTGATGCATTAGGGTTCTTTCCCCTGTGACTAATCACAGACAGAATTGGCCTGGCTTGGGACTGACCCAGATGAAGGTTGACACAAACTCTTGGCCTTGTTTGCAAGGGACACTGGGTGGGGGTGGAGAGCGTGGAGATAAGTATAGCACACCACCCCCCACCCCACTTCCCACCCCCACTGGAGATGCCCATGCAGAGCCCACATCCTGCTGGCTGGACCGCCCTCCCCGCCAGCACATATATGAACAAAGATGTGTGACTACGACAGGCTTTTAGCTCCAAGAAGGGTGGTATCTTTCTAAATTCTAGAATTAAATGTGGAGCCCTCATCTCTTGACTTCCAGATCTGGGAAACTCACGCAAACTTCAGAGCTGAGAGGACCATTTACTTTGGTTGCTGGGGCCTGGAGGACAGAGAAGGGCAAGAGGCAGGGAATTCCAGGGCTTTGGAGGTCAGAGAAAACGGAGGAGAGGAGCCAGTCAGCTGCCTCAGCACCCAGGCGGGAGGGGCAAGTGATGAACAAGATTCTCCACCTCTCAGTAAGACAAAAAAATTATTTCTCCTATTTCCTTCCCTGAGATTAATGATAAACTGTCTGTCCCCTAAAAGAAAATGATAAAGACTCTAATTTTACTTGGAGGCTTAGAAATGCCATTTCTACGCAAAACAGGGAGCCCATAATCAGACTTGAGCGGGGCAGAGCTTTGATAGAAAATGTTTTCCTCTCCCCTTCTATTTCCTCCCCTCCTTTCCCTCCCAAACCAAATGCCCGACAGCTAAGAACAATGCTCAATAAAGTGAAATAATATTTTAGTCAAAATAGGCCAAGACTGCTCCCAGCCAACTGTAAATTAGCATTTTGAGGGCAAATATGCAGACAATTTGAGATAATGAAGGCTGATTATTCAATCCAATGAATGTTAACTAGGGAGCAGAGGCTCCTTGGCCTTATCTCACTCCCTTCGATTTATTTTTTTAATCGTTTCACATTTGAACTCTTTATTTGTTTCTGTTCTATGTGCCCCCTCCCTATTTCTCTCCCTCCCTCTCTCCCTGGCTAACCCCTTCCAGTACACACACACACACACACACACACACACAGAATCTCACTTTTTTCTCCCCCTCTTCCACCCCTGCCCAGACCACAGAGCACCACCGGAGATAATCTGTCCACTTAGCCTTCTGCATGGCCTTGGGTCAGCTTAGTCAGGTGGGCAGGGCCCATGGAGCACCCACTGTGCACGGCCCTTTGTGGAGCTAGAGGGGGTGGGGTCCGATGTGCACTAAACAGACAACACAGGCCTACTACTCAGAGTTTAGAACAGGACTGGGTACAGGATATGGGACAGTCACGGACTTTTATAAAGAAATGTGGGGAGTGGATTTTTATAAAGAAGTGTGGATGAAGCCTGGGAATCAGGGGATACAGAGGAAACCCAAAACAATGGGAGGAATACCTTTCAAGATCTGCAACCTTCCCTTTCTGAAAGATCCTTGGGGAGCCCCCCAGGTCCGAATCATGGAAACTGTTCTTAAACTAGTCTTCATTCCAGACAAGATTATTTTCATGATTTGGGGGACCAGCTACAAAGTGAAACTGCAAAGCCCCTTGTTAAACAACTTACTGATAATTTCAAGGTGATGATGACAGCGCATTAAACCAATAATGCCCTGTCCTTCTTTTGAGCAGGAACCAGGCAATTGTGCCATCCATACCCATGCAGCTGGCCCTGGCCGGGTAGAGGTAACCTCAGAAAGTTTTCTAGAGGGGAAATGAAGCTGTTTTCCAGTGAGGGGTGCTTCCTGAGACTCTGGGGAGTGTCCTCAGTAGACCAGGGCTAGTGTCTGGAGGTGGGAATGGTGCTTGGTAGGAACCCCCAGCTCCTTAATAACTATCAGCACTGCTGTGTCTCCCCTTGGCAGTGCCTATCCTCCAGCCTGGAATAATGTTTACTTGGTGGTGAAGAGATAGCTCCCATCTGGGTGAAGGTCCCTCCACTATGCTGATGCCCCCTGGGTCTCAGCCCCACTCTTGCCCTCATCAGCCCCTGCCTCCTGGTTCCTGACTGTTCCCTGTGGGCTCTGCCCAAAGCCAGCCCTGCAGCTCTGCTTCCCTCAGTACCCATTGAGTGCCCTCATGGGGAGTGCAGAAGAAGTCTCTGCTAAGCTTGGCCTTCACCCTTTCTCTGTCCTACTCAGTGTGCCACACCTCACCAACCCTCCTGCATATGGCCACCCACCTTCACCTGCTCCAATCTCTTGGTGCCTCTGCTCATGCGGGCTCCTCACTTGGGGAGGGGGGGGTCTTTCTTCAACCTTCCCACCTCTTATCACACCCAGCCAAAGAGCTCTGGTGTCAAACAGCTCTGGCTCTATGCCAGCGTGTGCTGCTATAGGGTGACCTTTGTGGATGTACATGCAGTCAGCTCACTGCTCGGAGCGGCCCCTCGCGCTAGCCCATAGGGGAGGGCTACCATCTCACAGCTACTGTAGCATGTGGCATTCTCATCACACAGTATGACCACCGGGGTCAGGGCAGAATTTTTCTGGAAATCATTCCTGGGTGTTCAGGTTAGAAACCTTTATGCTGGCTCTTCCAACAAATTTGAAAGCACCCAGTTATCTTTTTAAAGTCTCTCCTTGGAGATAGTCTGTCCACTTAGCCTCCTGCATGGCCTTGGGATTTTTTACACAGAGACTGGTAAGTATAGGTGCAAACCAGACCCTCTTTCTCCTATATGCTCATGCACAGCAGCCAACATGGGTTTCCCTGTCCTGAAGAAAGAAAGCCTCCTTCACACAGCAGACCCACACCAAGACCAACCTCTGTGCTGAGCTGCTCTGCCCCAGTGCTCATGGCCTGTTTGCAGCAGCATTCATGTCCGGCCCTCCCCCAGTCTGTCCTTATGCAGGGAGCTGATCCCTGTGAATTGTGTTTCCCAGGTTACTTTGCCCACTGGTTTCCTGTTGGGTACAACCAATGTGAGACACTGGTGCTGGGAAATTATAGGGTGGATGGAGGGAAAAGGCCAGAATACAGCCCTCTGTATTTGTCTTTCTGTCTTTGGTAGTGTCTATTCTGTGCTGCCAGCTTCTGCCAGGCAGCGCCTGTGCCCCAAATTGCTTCCAGCTGTTGGCCCCTCCAAGGTGTGGCTTTGACCTGGCAGCCCCAACTCTGACTCTGGTAAACACCATCTCCTCCCTCAGATTGTTACGTGTCCTGCACTTGTTAACATTTGAGTCTCCTCATCTCCTGTTTCACCTCTTCAGTGCTCAGAGGAGAGCCCTCTGTAGCAAGCTACCTGGTGTGGCGGCCTTTCCTGCCATGGCATTCCTCAGACATGTGGTGGGGGGGCTGAGCTGTCTCCTCGTGGACACAGCTTGTCTCAGGGGCTTGCCCAGGCAGCTTATTCTGGACTAGCCTGCAGAAACATCTGGGCAGAGTCCTTCTGGGTCCCCTTCCCCAGCTGGGGATGGGGGGCAAGGGAGGAACCAGGGTGAATGGCAGCTCTCACCAACACCTCACTCTTCTCTTCTCGACATGTTTACTCACAGGCTGTCTGGAAAGTGAGAATCCTCCTTAATGGATGTTTCACCCAATTAAATAATTAACTCTGAGTGTTGCTAAGCATCCTCGGCAAATGTCTTCCAGTCCTGGAGGCTCCCTCATGCCAGGCTGTGGTGGCTGCCAGCTAGGCCTGGCCAATGCCGAACTGAGAGAGGATGTTGGGAGGAGCCAGGGGCAGGACATGAGTGCGCTGGAGAGAAGGGAGGGCTGAGACTCGTAGAGGAGGCAGCAGACTTCTGGAGTCTTTCCAGTTAGACCTGCACAATTCGCCCTCCACCTCATTCTCTCTTTTCCTCACTGCTCAACTCTTACCCCTTCAAGGTAAGGGAACAAGAGAGAAGCAGGCTTCTCCCTCGGGTGTGCTCTCAGTTATGGGAAAAGAGCTGAGCTGCCCTCCCCCCTGCAGCAGGCAGGCTGCGAATGCTATGTTCATTCATATCGTGGAATATGACTCAGCCCTTAAGAGGAGTGCGATACATTGACATGTATAGGCAGGAAAAATTCTCTAAGATATTGTGAGTGAAAAAAAAAATGCAGATGTCAGGACGTACAGTTTGATCTTATATGAATAAAAATAGCATACACATGTTCATCTATACTGTCCATCTATGGAAAGAGGGCTAGAAGGAAGGAGCCCGGACGTCCTTGGGTTGACCTCTGTGCCTGGAAGTGGAGTGAGGAGAAGGCGACTGTTCTCATTTTACTCTCTACATGGCTGAAATGCTTGACTCTTACAACCAAAATACCTTCTTTTATCATGTCTATAATTAAAGCAAAAATATAGTGAGGAACAATACTGTTAGGGAAAAAAAGGAAACAGCTATGTTTAAAAAAATGGCACAGAGGAGGATGTAGGAGTTACGGTAAATTAAAAAAAATAGATACTTAACTCCAGGGAGTCTGGAGTCTATTTTGGGGGTGGTGTGTGCTCCTTGGCCTTTAGTTGGGGATATGGACTATACCATCAAGCTCACCTACTTGAGGGCTTTCACCAGGCCATGCTGGCTTCCATGCGGATTTGGATATCCACTCTTGAGGCCGCTTCCATGGCCCCCACCAGTTCAGACTGGACATTCTCCAAGTCCACGTTGGCTGTCCCCAAGCTCAGCCCGTGAGAAGTCACTGCCTCTTCAGCCAGCAGCTGCACGGAGGAATCTGCATTCACCTCGCTGGTGATCAGGGTGTTTTGGGGGGGTGGTGCTGTCCTTAGCACACTCACAACCACTAGACCCGCGGGAACTGCAGGGAGGCACGGGGCGGCCAGGATGCCCAGGGATCCTGTCTGTGTGGGCACGTCTATCTGCTGGACATCGGGGCCTTTGAAGGACACCTGTGCGGAGAGGTGAAGGTGAAGGGCAGAGGTGCGGGCCGGCCTCAGTCTCCTGGAATCATGATTCTTAAATCAGTACTTTCCATTTTGACTTTAAGTCATAGAGAAAAATAGGTTCTCAGCAGACCATACTACTCACATGTAGAATGTATTTGAAACAAAATGTCCATAAAATGATGTTTACATTTAGTTTGACATCATGCATGTCATACTTTTCTAATTTTCCCTTAAAAAGTACTGGTTGTGACCCTCTAAATAGATTTGATGAGCATTAATGGGTTCCAAACTACAGCTTGGAAAGACACTGCCCAAACTGGGGCTTTGGAACCCTCTAAGGAAAGGCTTGGTGGTCAAGGGAGGAACCCTGGGTGTAGCTCTGTCTCCCGGCCCTGAGGGGGCAGAGGGAGATGTTATTCGCAGCACGGCCACTGGGTGGCACCACTGACTGCGTTCGCCACCAACTCAAGGGGCAGCCCACAGATTTATCTTTAAACCATTAGGAGCCAGAACTGAACCACTGCCTACCCCCTACACCACCTCCAGGGCCCTGGGAACTGAAAGGCATTACAGGCTGACCCCCAAATAGAAAAAAAATAAAAAGAACACCAAAAGAGGCCCCTGAGAGACCCAGACCCTGGCCCCCACTGGGGTTGTCTAGTCTTAAGAATGGAATCTAATCCCACCCAGCTTCAAAACTCAACTCTCCACTAGCTGTGTGGACTTGGAAGAGTTCCTCAACCTCTCCATGTCTCAGTTCCTTCACCTGCAAATGGGCATGGATAATACAATCTCTTTCCCTCAAGGAGTTGTAAAAATGAAATGAGTTAACATGCACAAGGCGGTAAGTGCATTGCCTGCAGTCAGTAGTGTAAGCTATTACTATTATGCTGCTTTTCCTCCTGACTGCTCCCTCTCAGAGGTGGGGCAGAAAGTGCTTTAGAGGTCAATTAACTGTAGAAATGAATGAAATGAAACCCGTGAGAGCACATTTCCACTCTTCCCTGCGCAGGGCAGTGGGCTGGAGCGGGAGGTGGAGTGTGGCTGATGAGGCTGATAAGCCACGACTCCCTTTTCCTTGTGACCTACCCTGAGGCCTAGCCTCCCTGACTCACCAAACACCCCACCCCCCCTTTTCCACCCCACCCCAGACCTGTCTCACCATTATTGAACCTCACACGGTGAGGCGGGAGAGATAGACCCTGACTCATAAACCCTGCCATGGCTCACATCACCCTCTGAGAAGGGGGGTGACAAGCCTCTTCCCTCCTCTGCACCTTGGACGCCCCCCCCCACCAGTCCCTCTAGGCCGGGCTTCTGCCCAAGGCCACCTCTTCCCCACCTCTCACCCATGGCAGCCCTCCCTCCTGTGTTCTCAGGTCCTGCTACAAAGCACCCTTGAAGCTCCCCACACCCCTTTCCTGACCTGACTCCTTCACAGGCCAGGCCTGTGTCAGCCATTGCTGGGTCTGGGGGACAGCACCTTCAACTTCTGACTTCAAGTTTAGTCATTTTCTATTTATCAGGGCATGATGTTTATTTAGAAACCTGAAAACACCCCAAAGTATAAAAGGTAACCTTTAAAATGATCACATTTCTTTTAGAATTTTCTCAATAGAATTGAGGCAAGTGGGACCTCCCTGGTGGTGCAGGTGGCTAAGCGCCGCACTGTCAAGCTGTCCGCAGCCTCTGCAGCGCAGGTTTGATCCTGGCCGGCTGGGGAGAATCCCACATGGTGAAGCAGACCTCTCCTGTCTTGCCTGCTGCTCCCCTCAGTAGTGTGTTTCATCAGTCTGCATGTTCTGTTTCTCATTCTGTCTCTGGTGAATCCTCTCACCCTCCCGCACATCTGGCCTGTACCCCGGTTCATGTATAAAAATAAATAAATCTTAAAAAAAAATAATTGAAGCAAGTGGAGTTGTTTGCCAATTGGGAGAAACAACAGAAGGGTGGGAAATAGATAAAGAAGAACCAGAGATGTAAGCCCAGCATTTAAATTTGAGTACAGGGCTTCCCTGGTGGCGCAGCGGTTGAGCGCTGGGTTGCGAAGCTGCTCGCTGCCTCTGCAGCGCCGGTTCTATCCCCGGCTGCTCCCCGGCCACCAGAGGAGGGTCCCACATGGCACGCAGACCTCTCCTGAGGCCGCTGCTCCCCTCAGCAGTGTACTTCGGTCCTTCTGCCTGCTCTGCTCCCCGCACCCTCCCGCGCTTCTGGCTGTGCCCAGTGCATGTATAAACAAACAAACAAACAAACAAATAAATAAAACATGCCTCTAAAAAAAATTAAAAAAAAAATTTGAGTACAGTAAAATTTACTCTTTACTGTACTTTTTTTTTTTAGTATAGCTATGTGAGTTTTGACAAATGCAGAGCCCTGTAACCACCACCAAAATAAAAATGAGTTACTCCTCTCCAAGCCTCCAATTTCCTTCTGCTTTATTTGACTCAACTTCTCTATCCCTTCCCCCGGGAACCAATCATTTGTGCTTTCTCTATAGTTTTACCTTTTTCAAAAATACCATGTGAATGGGATGCTAGAGTGTGTAGCCTCTTAAGTCTGACTTCTTTCATGGTCTAATGCACTTGAGATTCACTCACATTGGTGCATGTGTGAACAGTTTGTTCTTTTTCATTCCTGAATAGTAATCTATTGTACACCTGTACCAGTTTGGTTATCCATTGCAAGTTGACAGATATTTGGGTAGTTTCCAGTTAGGGCTATCATAGGTAAAGGTGCTATATGTGTGTTGGTGTATCGATTTTATAAGAATGCACACTTTCATTTCCCTTGGGTGAGTATGTAGGCATAAGATTGCTAGGTCATATGTAAATTATTTAAAAATAAAGAAAGAGCAAATCACTTTCCCAGTCTTCTAGCTCCCCAGGAAACTCCATCACCATTTTCTTTGTATTTTTTCAAGTGTGTGTGTTAGTGTTTGTGTGTGTATGTGAGAAAGAGAGAGAGATCACATAATATTTTTTAAAAAATACATATTATCAGATAATCCACATATTTTGCTTTTGTTGTCTTTTTCACTTAATGGCCCTTGAAGACCACACCTTCTTAGTTCCTGTAGCTGTCTCATTCTTTTCTATCACTCCACAGTAATCTGTATGTGAATGTACCATACTTATACCAGCGCCTATGGATGATTTCTGATCTGGGGGGAATGGACAATGTTATAATGAACATCCCTGTTCTTGTGCCCTAGTTTGAGCGCAACTACAGGGCAACCCAGAGGTGGAGTTCTCAAAAGAACAATGTGCATCCCAACCCCCGGGTACTCCCCCCTCCACTGGCCTGTGCCCCTACCACACCCGTGAAGCTGCTCTCACCAAGGCCACCCCAGCTGTCATTACTCACCCTACTCCACTTCTCTGGGGCAGGCCCTGTTGCTGACCCTGCTGTTCTGTTTGAAACATTCCCTTCAGGGACTTCTGGTTTCTCTTGATACCCCCATTCCTTTGATGGTCTCCCCCCATTTCCATTCCTACCCCCAATCCTGCTGCAGACATTCAGCGAGATCTATTTGGCCTTCTCCTGCACCCCACATCTTCAGCTACATTTGCTTTCAGGGGCTCTTTGCTTTAAGTCCACAGTTCTGATACTGTTCACATTGTGAGACCAATACCACAAACCAGACTCAGCATCTTCACAACTTCCAGAAGTTGTTCCTCACCTGCCCTGAAGATGCTGCCATGCTGCCTGCAATGCTGGGAGACTTGTCCCCTTCTCTCTTCCCCCCTCCATTAGACACCAGAAGTTGCCCTTCCCATGGATCTTGCCTTTTAATCCCACAACCAGCCCCCTGGGGCTGGGCTTCCTTCATTCCAGGCACCAAGCAGGAATTACTCACCAAATGTAAACCTTATACATTACAAGAAAGATTTTGTTAGCCTTTTAAAGTTCAGATTCAGTAACACATCTAGGAAGCGGTAGACCCAGGATTTGGCCCGGCAGTCCAGCCTGAGTCTGTGACTACACATCGCGCCTCCTTCCTCATGCAGATAGTCTTGTAACACATCATCGAGCCTCCAGGTCTTACCAAATTCATCCCATACTCGCACACAGACTGACCTCCTACTTCACTGCTCCAGGTACAGCACAACTCAGGTCAAAAGCCTCCTTGTCCTCCAAATAAAGCCCCGATGCCAAGCTTGCATCCACGGCCCTCCAAGCTCTGGCCAACCCGCCTTGCCGGCTCCATGAGCTCCTGAACCTGCAGCTGTCCTACTGTGTCCTGCTGGTTCCCACTTGCTCATCTCAGCTCACACATCCCCTTGCTCGGCGGGCCATCATCTTCGTCCCAGCCAGGTCAAGTCCAGCCCAAGCTTTATGACTCCTCCACAAGCCTCCCACTTCACAGGGAGAAACAGAGGCTGTCAAAAGGGAATACCCTCAACTCCTGCCCCAAATCTCTCTCCTCCTTAAGAGGAATCCCACCCTCTGGTTTTCCAGCTCAAACATTGCTATCTTCCTGAGGTCTCATTTTAGCAGCTATGTTAGACAAACCTGTTTGGTCAAAATCAAGCTGAACAGCATAACGATTTCGTAAAAAGAAATTCCAGTTATTTAAAATTCTATTTACTTACGGGAAATGAAAAAAAATTTACATTGTTAAAATTCTAAAGACAGAAAGGATACAAAGTAAGATCCTCCCTCCCATTTTCCAGCCACCCAGGGCTCTTCTTCACAAGAAAAATTTTAAAATCTTGTGTATTTTTTTTTCAGAGCTAATTTGTTTGTGTAGTTTGTAAATGATCAACAGTTCCCTGACACTCCTCTCTGCGTGTGGCCTGCACTCACTGCTGTGGTGGTGAGTAGACTTGACCCCCTCCTTGCTGTGCTGTCACAGGGGGGAATCTTGCTGCCACATTAAAAGGACTCTGGAGAGGCCTGCAGTTGAAGGAGCTCAGGCATCCTGACAGCCAGGAGGGAGCCATGTTGGGAGCAGGTCCTCCAGCCTCAGATGAGCCTTCAGATTCTGCAACCCTGGCTGATGTCTTGACAGCAACCTCACGGGATAGATACCTTGAGCCAAAACCACCCAGCTAAGCTACTCCCAGATTTCTGGCCTGTGGGAATTGTGACGTAATGCAGTTGATTCTTGTTTTTCGTGTCATATGTTTTCTATAAAGTCACTAAGAACACTGAATTATGGAATGCCAAACCGTTGCTCCTAGGGAAATCCAGTTAGGTGCCTCTGAGCCTCTGGTCACATTTTTATCAACTCATTAATACATACCTTGTTTTAAAGTGTCTTTTTTAAGGACACCTCACTTTATATTGTTGATTCACTAACATTGAACTCATGGCCAACAGTGCTATAATTCATGTCTGAACAAAGCTTATCTAACATGTGTTTTCTCCATGACATCTTTGGGCTTATGAGACCACTTAAAACAGCAAAATAATCCACAAAAAGCACACAAATGCAAAAACATGGCACTAAATAGAGAGGATACTTGTTTGCAACATAAGAACTGAAGCAAGAAAGAAAAGGGTCCCCTTCTTCATCTTCATTTGGGAACATGCACATGGGACTCCTCAAATTTTTGCTGCTCTGCATGTATGTGCCAATGACCATGAAAGCACGTTGAGTATTGATTTGGGGGTTATAAATAAATTTTATCAAGCAGGTGAGTTTGCAAATACAGAATCCATGAGTAAAGAGGATAAACTGTAAGGACCTGTTGTTTAGAGCACAGAGAAGTGGGGCAAATGTCTCTACAGCAGGAGATAAATAATATACATAGCTGATATGCATTATGATCCTGGTGTTTGCAGAATAGTGCTAACTACATACAAAAGGGCCTAGGACCAAAAACACTAGTCAACGTGACGCTGAGCAAGTGAAAATCTGGGTGTTAAGGTACTTTGATGATACTTCCTGAAATCAGTATGTGTGACTTTGTGATAAGAAAACACAGCAAAAGAAAACATTCAAAATTATTTTGTTGGCTGTTATGTGTGCTCTAATTAGTTACCTATTGTGAGACAATTACATTACAATAAATCCCATATTTAGATATTTATTTGACCTAACCAATCCCTTTTTGGATATTTAAGTAATTCCATCCTGTCTCAAACTAGATCACTTTCCACCACTTGATGGGGATCACAGTTTTTACTACCTACTCGGTCTTTATTTTGTGCTGTCATCCTGCCCTCCCTGATTTCTTCCCAGAACTGCTCAGTCTCTCCCACTGAAGCAAGGGACACCCGTCTCTCCTTAAGAATGCCTACATTCCGGGCACCCCATCCTCATTCCCACACTGTGCACTGCAGCCCACCTTTTGCCAGGAGCCATTCAGCAAATACTGTCCTTCCCAGCCCCTCCTTGTGACTAAATCCAGAAGGAACTTCTGGTCCTTGGGGACTCAGGGGCCTCCCGCCTTGCCCCCTGCCCTTTCTACTGACTCTCCACTCCGCTCACTTTCTTCCTCCCTGTCCTCCTGCTCCTCATTGGGCTCTTTGGCAGCCTCACCCGAGCTTGGTGAGCTTGGTCTCTCTCCAGCTGGTTCTCCTTTCCTGGCTCTACCCCCACCAGCCATCAGTCAGGCAGGCCTGTGGGTGGGGGTTCACAGCCCCCCCCCACTCCCCCCCCCCCCCCGCCCCTGCCCTAGCCGCCCTAGACGGTTCTGCTCTGTCCCCCATTTCAGGTTCCTGTCCTTGGAACTTGGGAGTTGCTTTTCCCTCTTTCTCAGCCTCCACACAGTGCCTGACACTCCGGAGCACCAATTAATATTAATTTAGTCACCTTAATCTACTATCGAGTCCACTTTTGAGTGACACTAAAATCTCCCCTCACCTCCGTCGCCTGTTGTTCGTCTGTTCCTCCATGAGACAGGGGCACCCATCCCAGCGGCCGCAGCCGTGAACCCAGGACACCTTGAAAAGACGCCGCGGGACTATGAAACCCTGGCTGCTCTCAGGGCTGCGAGTTATGCCCGGACACGGGGCTTCCCTCGCCTCCCCGGCCCAGCACCCTGGCAGAAGGGATGCCCTTTCAGCTGCAGGTCCTGTGGGGCACCCTTTCTAAGCAGTACTCAAAGGCGAGATGAGATTCACCCGCCCGCAGAGTCCCGCCCAGCAGGCTGCACGTCCCGCCTCACGCCGACCGCGGCGGGCAGGGCCCAGGGGAAGGGGGGCCCTGTCTGAGGGGCCGACCCCCCAGGTTCGGGAGAGCCTCGGGGAGCAGCCCCGGGAAGGGGCGCCAGAACGATGCCTTGTGCAGCAGTGGGGCAGTGGGAGAGCCCCGGGGCTAATTGCCTCACGCTCGCACACAGCCCCGGGGGCGGCTTTGCTGGTTGGGGTAAAGCGGCTTTATTTCGCGAGGAGACCAAATTCAAACCCTGTCCTGGCTGGCGACTCCCGGAGCGCGACCGCGGGGGGAAGTTGTGGGCCTGGGCATGACCAGCAGGGGGCGCGCTCGGCTCACCTCCGCTCGGAGCCCGAGGCGCTGAGACTGGGGCTGACCCGGTGCCGGGAAGCGGTGAGCCGACCCCGCGTTTCTCGCGTGCATGACAGCCTGACCTCAGGCACGCAGGAGAGGGGCCGGGTGTTGGCAGTAACGGAAAGCGAGTGGGGTTGAACTTGGGGAATATGAGGTCCCAGGGACACCTCGGGGGGATGTGTCCTGGGCAATTGACACGCAATCCTGAAGCTTCAGGCAGATACTCGGGTTAAAATGTAGACTTGGGGTTTTGATTGCGTGTACAATGGTGCCAGACTTGAGATGGCTTCTACTGCCCAGGCAACACGAGAAAAAGGCAGTTTAAGGGTTTGGGGAAAGAGACGCTGCAGTAGGTCTGCAGAGGTAGCGGGGCTAAAGCGAGGGACCAGGGAGCTCCTCGGTGGGTGTGTCCCCACCGCCAACCCTCTAAGGAAGAAACTTGGCCGTCCTGTCTTAGGATCTCTTGGGACAAACGGTCCGGAGAAAGGGGGACAGACAAAAGTAAGAGGCCCGAGGAAAGATGGGACCATTGGTTAGACTGGATTAGTAACTAATGAAGACAGGCAGAGGGTGTGTGCTGGAAAGGAACTTAAGCCACTGCGCTGGCTTAAGACACTTGGGGTTTGGAAAGGTGAGGGTTTCCGAGTAGCTCCAGGGTAAAAGAGAAAACGGGAAAAAGAGAGAAAGGGACTCTTGGAAAGTGTGTTTTTCTAGTAGTAGAATATTAGATAAGAATTTGTTCTTGATTTTTATTTGGAGGTCACATTTTTGCATGAAACACATCTTTGAGTCACATAGGACCTTAAGTTTTATGAGAATTCATTAAACTTTGAGCCTCCCTGGTGGCGCAAGGGTTAAGACGCAACCTATGAAGCAGTCCTCAGCCACTGCAGCACGGGTTCAATTCCCTCGATTCCCGGCCTGCCAGGGAACAGCCCACATGGTGCAGCAGACCTCTCCTGTCTCGCCTGCTGTTCCCCTCAGCAGTGTATTTCAGTCAGTCTGCCTGTTCTGTTCCCCACTCTGTCTCTGGAGAATCCTCCCACCCCCACATCTTTGGCCTGTATCCCAGTTCTTGTATAAATCTTTTTTTTTTTTTTTAAAGATTTATTTATTTATTTATACAGGTATTGGGTACAGTCAGAAACGCAGGAGGGTGAGAGAATTCACCAGAGCCAGTGCGGAGAGCAGAACAGGCAGAATGACGAAGTACACCGCTGAGGGGAGCAGCGGGCGGCAGGAGA